TCGAATGTAACCACTGAAACACAAACAACACAGGCTTTCAATCCGGTTTTGGCTTTTTGGTACCGCCTGGAGGACGGCGGTCAGGAGTTATTTGCCCCTATACCTACAGTTATTTGCCCCTGTTTGTCTTCAACAAGTCGTACCTCGATATTGTAACTCTTTCGTAAGAGGAGATAGAAAAAGAAAAAAATGGAAGGCGGGATAAAACCATGAACGCTCAGGAATGGAGGAGGAAAGAGAGAAACCCCCGTCATTGGTATTTAGTAGTGTCGGCCATGCTTGCGAGTTTATAGAAAGACACGAAATTGAAAGTGAAACAAGATTTGTTATTTCAAGAGAGTCAAAAGATTTTAATAAAATCGGTGAGTTTTGTAACTCGTTGCAGCACGATGCAAGTGGTTAGTCCAAATTTCCTCAAATAAAAAAAAAACCCGTACCCATACACACCATATGATTCCAGCACCAACTTAACTTATCTTTAAAGTTTTTTTTCAAGGATCTAGCTTTCAGAATGCGAGAAATCAGTAAAGGGATGATTAACATACAAATTTTAATATCAGTGACAGGGCCATTTCAATGATGATTGAGTTGTAGAAGAGTCATTCCTTTACTGATTTCTTGCATATCCTAAGTTTGTTCTGTGAAATAAAGTTGTAAAAGTTAGGCAGAGTTGTGACACGAGATTCCCACTTTTAAAATTGGCATATGCTCTCGACTGACTCTCCTTAGTACAAGTTGCAATTTAAGAAGTATGGTTCAGAGTCAGAGGAATCTTGGATTAAGGTCATTGGTGATCACCCAAAATATCAATACTGTATTATTACCTAACCTACTATATAAACTAGGGATGGGTATCACCAAAAATTTCGTATCGGGATATATATATATTACCATTTTTCCCCAAATATCACGATAATATCATGATATTTTTGCAATAAATTTTATGATTTTTAATGAATTGTCATTACTTTTCGTAAAAGTAAGCTAAAAAACAAAATATCACTTTTTTGAAATTTTTATGTACATAAAATTAATCATGTTTGGAGATGCTGTTCTTTTCAACTTTTACAATACATGTATTTTATAGACTTTCTGTAATTGAAAGATGAAACAGATAAAGGAATAATTTCTGGGCTTTATAATATGTACCTAAATACCGGTATGCTCATAAGGATTCCGTATCACAATACATATTTAGCGCACAACAAAAAATGTCGAAATACCAGTATATCAATAAAATCGCACATCAGGCATTATACACTTATTTAATGACTGAGATTATAGTCAGACTTGTCCCGAGGTAAAGGGGAAGACCTTGGAAACTGTAGCCCAAATCTGAATCACTGAGAAGTCATTCAATAAGTGTATAATGCAGTTGTTATTAACTCTTTATTGAATGTGAGTTTTTATTCCCATTTAGTTAATTATATAGTAGGTTAGGTAATAAAACACTTATTCAATGACTACTTGGTGAAACACTCAAATTGTTGTCCCTCCAATGGCTCCATAGCTCCATTCCTGGGAAACTGTTAATTGCTCTCAGGCTTCGGCCTTGGGTAACAGTTTCCCAGGTCTTCCCACTACCGATGGACAACAGTTTGACTGTTTACGTTGTAGTCATTGAATCAGTGTATACTGTTGCATGGGAATTTATAGCAAATTAGCATATTTTTTTTTATTATTGTCACTAACTTACTAGGGTTTTCCAGTCATAAATTTAAGTGTAATGTAAATATAGTGATACATAGTTCAGAACTGAATTCACAATTTCTCTGGTGTGTTACAAAGGCCTAGCTGTCAGTGCCTCAGCTCTATTCATTTTATTCCCCACTCACGGTACGTATTGTCAGTCCAGTGGTATGTACAGAAATTAACTATTGAACACACCCGATGAATCATAAACATTTAAGAACAACAGAGCCTCATACTGTGTTTACAAAAACTAGTTTTCATGGGTGTATTCAATTTGTTAAACTCTGCATACACAAAACTAAGCACGGACTGGCTATTCAAGTAGCTAGTGAGAGCCTGAGAGGGACATTTGTACTCTGAATTATAGCTGAGTAATTTTTTTCAATTATCAATCATGTTGATACACAACAAATTGCTCCTTTTCTAATATATTGTATATTTAAGATAAGGTTCAAAACTGTTAAAGTGCAAGGATGTGTTAATCAAATACATCCCATAAATCAAAGTTAATGCAATAGTTTCTAGATAAAATAAGTTATTTTATTATATTTTATTGCAATCTAAATAAAATTAGATGTTAGATCTGCTTGTATACTGGCTACACTAACATCTAACAACATTGTGGGTCATGTCAGAGGTCAAATTATATCAACCTTTGACTGACACCAAGGTTGTGACCAGGACTGACCTTTATGTTAAAAATAGCATTTTTGAACATTAACCATAACTTTAGAAGCATGAGAGATAGGGACTTCAAATTTGGTATGCATACTCCACTAATCGAGTTCTTTCAAATATGATACCAAAGTCAATGATCTTGTGATGTTGACATTGACCTTTACTCTAAAAATAGCTTTTTTTTAACATTGTATAACTGGGCACATAGTTTTTCACAAACACATCTTGTTAAGAAATCACTTCTAGCTAGAGTAGGTTAAAATGCCTATCAAATGCGCTATGACTCTTCATAATAACAGATTTGTATATGCATGTATTTAACTAAAAATACAATAATTTTCTCTGTTATTCTTTCAGCAATTGAAATATTTTTATATGTGCATTTAATGTTTCAAGATGAAAATACCAATGGTGGTACCAAAATATTTTGGGAGTTAAAGGAGTCCATTGGTCGTGGTTCAGATATCCCTTTTGATGGCATTCCTTTTCAAATTGTTGGCTTCCAGCTTCGACAATGCTTGCATGGCCCTGAGCGGCATAGGAAGGAAAAATCTGCTTATAAATCTAAACAAGTAAGGTTTCCTTTGATTTATAAAAGATTACCTGAAAATAGATTCTATAAGGAGAAATATAGGGTTATTGAACTTTTGGTGAATATTGGTGGAAGATTGGCTGGTGATTACATTTTTACAGCGAGCGTCAGTGAGTGCCAATATTCACAAGTATAAGATCAATAACTCATTTTTATATATGGGTATAATAGGTAAAACATTTCCTCATATATAATTATTAAATAAAGAAAAACTTTTTCAATTACTTTTTAAGTATCGGTATTCAAATGAACGCCTGACTTGTAAGTGTTCAATATTACATCATTCCAATGACCCTACTGAATACTGATCGTTATGATTTGGTAATTAAGGTTTTAGTGGCAGTAATACATATTAATTATTTGAAAAATAATTTTATGTTTTTGTGAAAGAATACACATCTTACCTAGTTGCCACTTCCTGTCTTTAATTTGCCTTTGAGAGATTGATCATCCAGAATTGGTTGTTTCCAAGGGGGCGCTCAATATTGAATGTTCTTATTTTGAATATTTTGGACACGTACTCCTATATGTAATACAGACTCAGTTTTCAGTAAAACTTCAAGTGATTAAAAGTGGAAATTCAAGATTTCTAGATTTTTATTTTTATTTTTTTTTTTGGAGATTATTTATTAAGTATATAATAATTTTAAATTTTGGAAATTATTTATTAAGCATATAATCAATTTTAATTTATTTAATCCATTTACATTAAAAATTGAAAAAGAATTGAATATTTTGTTCGTTAGTGAATTACCAGTATGTATGAAAATATGAAATGGAACCATTACATTGTAATTTGATGTATGACATTTTATTTTATTAGAAATCCACTGGATCAAAGAAAAGACAACTGCTGCAGCCCTCCAAGCAGAAGGACTGCCCAGCTTTTGTTTCTTTAAGAGCTGTGCTGAAATTTCCTGAGTTTAAGGTACCTTGGGTATTTATTTAGATTTAATATTTTGTTAAAATTTAGTGGAGTTCATGAGTTTAAATTTTAGCTCACCTGAGCCTAAGGCATAAGTGAGCTTTTCTGATTAATATTAGTCTGTTGTCTATTCAACTTATAATCACATGAAAAGTAGTCCTGATACTACAGTGTATATTAAATTTAACATTATTTTAAAGAAGAGCCCCCCCCCCCCCAAAAAAAAAAAAAAAGAAAAGAAATTACTGTTTTCTGAGAGACTATACCCAATCTGGATACATTTTCTTTGTCTGATTTTGGAAAAAAAAATTTTCCATGTTCAGGACTGGTTTTCTTAATTTTTCTTTTAAAGTGAGAGTTAAAAATATATTTCATCTTGTTTGTCTACAAATTATGCTCCAAAATACCTTATTTAACCAAGCTTAAGTTATAAAGCATCATGAAAGGAAATTTTTTCTTAAATTTGATAAATCTATTGGCACCTTTCATTTACTAGATCTTGACCTTAACTAGATCTTGACCTTAATAACTGAAATCCTCTGATTACCGTGAAGTGATATTGATACCTGCAAAGTTTTCTCAGGTAGTGTAAGGTACATATTCAAAATACAGGTATTTGTTTCACATCAGAATAGGTAGAGGTAAGATATGAAAATTAAAGAATTAATTACTAACTGGTGAAAAACTTCGCTGAAAAATTCATAAATGTATTGAAATACTATAAATTGTGCCACCTTTGTATTTCCAGATTGAAGAAAATAGCACCTCTTGGAGAAAGAAGCAGGTTTCCAGACTCCTTCGTGAGAAGTTGTCAGATGAAGGCGAAATCCTACAGAAGGAGGTTAAAATATATGTCTCTATATCTGATCTGTCAGATCACAGAAATCATCTAACAGGAGAGGTAAATTAAAGTTTGTTTTCAGAAGTCTGTAACTTATATCATTGAATGGGAATAAATTTCTTACAATTGCAACTGTAATGTTGTTTCTATCCATTTGAATTCAGGAACAAAAATTATTTATTAAGTTTTCAGGATTAAGCAATCCCGTGGACAAAATTGTCATCTCCAAGATTCATGCTTTAGTTCATGAAGGTGTACGGACAGTCGATGAGATGAAAAGACACTTACGTATCTTTGTGCGAGACAATGTACCCTTAGGGAAGTCAATTTCTAAATTCAACCGACGGTATTACCCCACCAACAAAGACATTAGGAACCACATCTATAGAGCACTTCAAATAAGTCAGTAAGTTAAAAAAAAATGGTATTCCACAAAATAGCACGAAAAAAATTGAATAGCATACTTAAAATGTTTCTAGACTTCAGATATGATAAATATACTCCTTATGAGCATACTTTCTATATACTGGGTATATTAGAATTTCAAATGTTATTCATAAGGACAAATGAAGGTATGAAATTTTACTCAAGAGTTGACACATCTTCCCAATACGCGTTTACTGTATTTAAATACTCAGAAAAAAATTGTTTGATATTAGATATCAGGGACTAATATATTAATGGGTTAGGCAACTGCTTCAGCGTCATGTTTTTATACCAAAAAAATTTCGCACAACACTTCAAATTTTTCAAACTACATTTATTCCCAGTATAAAACCTGTTTTCTGATTATATAATGTCATTTATTTCATCCTTTTAAGTATTGGATGAATTTTTAATAAATTTTCAAGCATACATTATAATATTTAAATTTAAAAAAGAAACACCAATATTGTCGATTTCTTGGAAATATAGCCGAACAAGGGCAAGTGCTGGTTTTGAAATAAACATACCGTATAAGTAGAATTTTTAGCGAGGATTTAATTTTGGCATTATTAGCAAGGGTGCTGAAATCACTAAAATTAAATATCGCTAAAAATTAATTGTGTATTATTTGTAATAGCTTCTTTAGTTAGCATTTTAAATCGCTAAAATTACTTCTCGCTAAAAATAAAATACCAGATTTTAGTTACAAATTGCTTAATTTGTGTCTTGCTAAAATTTCCACTTATACGGTAATTATCGTGTACTACTACATGTAAGATGAGTGTAATTGGTGCTAAAAACAATTTTTGAATAATTTTTTTGATAGATAAATCAAAGTTATGATGTGAAATAATTAGAAAGCATTAAAGATATAATTAACAAAAGTTGACTTACAAGATATCATGAGACTTTCGAGAGTTGCCTATTCTGTTAGAATAAAGATGAAAGTTCTAATTATAAATCATAGAAATTAAAATACTGTACAATCTCTAGATATTCTGAGGGAATTATTTCAGATCTTTAAATTTTAGACGCATTAAATATTAATAGGTTTTCAACTGAAGATCAGGAAAATGTTGTACACATGGTGGATGATTGGAGGGCAGCAAAACCTGATGATCATTTTTATTTGAGACCAAAGTAGGTATAATTTCATGCAAGGTGAATCATGTAGGCCGGTATATATTTATAATGGAACCCAGAAGATTCAGGTTGAAATAGATTTTGTTATGTAAGTTTTTTTTGTGTAGAAGTTTGGGTTTTATGGACAATGGATATCAACCTAGATAGGTCAGTGGTTAATTACCACCTGACTAGTAATGCATGAATCCTGGTTTCAATTCCAGGTCCAGCCATATGTTTTTTTTGTGCATTTTTACTTTCAATACTACATTTGCTGGCCAGTGTGGGTAGCTTAGTTCAGGTTACAGTGTATGTGTAAATTGGTGATTACCGGCAGGGCCCTACAACTTGTGTCTTTGAGATTGAATCCTGTTTAAGGAGGGAGGAATGTAGAAGTTTGGGCTTTACGGATTGTGAATGTCGGTCTGAATAGCTCAGTGATTAGACCATCTGACTAGTAATGCAAGAGTCCCGGGTTCGATTCCTGGTCCAGCCACATGGTTTCTTTGTGCATTTCTCCTTTCCTATTACATTTGTCTGATAAAAATTTGATATTGTCCATCAATTTTTATTGGTTGCAACTTGAATCATATTTCATGTGTTTTCTTTGTGACAATTAAGACCTTTCCCTGGGTACTATCATATTTGACCTCTTGACCTTGACGTACTTCTGTAGAATGTTGCCAAAATTTAAACTTGGCCATAATTTTAAAACATTTGGTGCTAGGGCTTTTATACTTTACATCCATGAATAAGATATTTCCTTACACAAAAATATTTTTACCTTTTGATCTGAGTAGTTTGTGTTTGGGCATTCATATATCTTGAGTGAATTTCTTCCCACAAGACCTTTCCTAAAACACCTTAAAATTTGAACTTGATGTGTGACTTACTTTTATGGAAGTGGTGGGACTTTCATATTTCAAAGTTGTATTCCCTTTTGACAAGAGCTATCTTTAAGTAAAAATATTAGTTATCTTCTGACCTTGGAGACTGTGCAAATTTCACCCGACACCAGAAGCTGTTGTACAGAGGCATTAGCGTTTTGCAAAAACATTTTTTTCAATGTATTCCAATCTTCATTTTATCAGCTAATTCCCTTTAAATTGATCCATAGGAGGAAATGTCTTTTTATCAATACTCTATTTTTCTACTGAAGCATGTATAATTATACTTATTTACTAATGATGATGTTTAGTTTTGCAGAGGAAGAAGAATCTTCTGAAACATCCACAGGGCCTTTTTTATTTGTTCATCAAGCAGAGTGGCAACAGAAGCTGTTACAGAAATATGGCAATGAAATCTGTCTTCTTGATGCTACCTACAACACCTCAAAGTATGACGTCCCCCTGTTTTTTATTTGTGTGAACACAAATGTAGGCTTCTCTATTGTTGCGTCATTTGTGGTCGCAAATGAAAATACAGGGCTCATCGAAGAAGGCCTGCAGATCATAAAGGAATGGAATCCAGACTGGAGACCAGAATATTTTATGACAGATTTCGACGAAAGAGAGATTTCTGCTATTGAGAACACATTTGAAGGTTAATATAGATGAGAGTTACATTTTGTAAATATTATGATCATGGAAAACCTTTCAAAGACAAAGTCATACCTGTTAAAGATGAGGGACTAAAAATAATCAATAGAATATTAGATGACTAAATAGTGTTAACTGTTTGAAAAAGTAATATTTCATCAAGACCCTGCTTAGCAGACCTAATGCATAGATTATTATTATTATACCTCATTATAATTATTCTAAACAACGCGTTATCTGATTGGTTCTAAGTTATCACCTGATCGGGCCGTAAAACTGCATATTTCACGGGCGTCAGCATGCTTTTCATTATAGTCCACCTCTCTGGATGTTTAGTGCATTTTCCCGCAAAAATTATCGTTCGTTTAAAGAAAACTCCCAATAGTATAGTAGACGTCACGATAACCTGGTTTATGTCATAAAATTGATGATAATGTGTTGACCAAAGAGTTTTAGTAACGTTTTGTGAAAACTGAAAGTGAATTTGAGAGCGGTGCCAAATTTGAAAGTTTATGTTAATTTCAAAGGTTTTGCTTGTTACGGTAAAATAAACTATTTATTGCATGAATGTTCGGGAAACATGAAGACTTATTCAGCCAGGAAATATCATATTCCCCTTGGGCGAAGCCCTCATGGAATATGATTTTTCTTGGCTGAATAAGTCTTCATATTTCCTTCACTATCATAAAATAAATGTATATTATACATAATATTCTTGTTCATTATTATTCTATACAACACATTATCTGATTAGTTCTGGATTATTATATGACAGGGCCATAAAACTTGACTTTACCCTATCATTGACATGCTTTTCATAATATTCAACCTCTTTGGATAATAAGCCCCCCCCCCCCCCCCACACACACACACACCCACAAACACCCACACACTTTGACACAATTTTTTCCAAACAACTTTTAGCATTAAAAATGTTCATTTAAAGTCAGGTTGATAAAGATGTGATTGTTTTGAAAAGATCAGTAGGTATTGCTGTGAAACTATTTTTGAGTATTATTGAAAAATGAATTTCCAAGTATAATGAATTTTATACTAGAAATAGAGGAGAGGGCTGTTTCATTATCAAATATATAATTAGATAATATTAATTGAAATTGTGATTCCATGTTCAAAAATTAATTGAAGCATTTTTCTTCTTAAAAATTTCCCAGGATGTCAAAGTTTGCTATGTGACTTCCACAGGGAGCAAGCCTGGACTAGGTGGACAAAAGATGGCAAACATGGGCTTTATACTGCTCAAAATGAAGTGCTTGAAATGTAAGTAATTTCGCGATGTCTTGAATATTTTTCAATGATTTCTTTTGAATATGTTGCAATTTTACTCCTTTTTATTATTGAAGGCTTAGAAGAATAGCAAATTCTGCAACAGAAGAGAAATACAAGGCAAATGTAGAGGATTTAAAGAAATCTGCTCTGTGGAAAAAAAATACCCAATTACAAAGGTGGTTTGAAGGGAGATGGCTAAGCAATGCAAAGGTTTGGCACATTTTTTTTTATCTTAAACCCATAAAATTTAAGACATAGAAGAGAACTTTGAAGAATTTACATTTTATTGAAAGGAATTGACTTCAAGTTTGATTTTGAGTTATGCAGGAATTTTGGCGTATTGGCTTTGAAGTTGGGCCATGGTTACAATTAAAACAAATGATATGTTCAAAATACTCCAACTGCTGTCAAATCCCCCCACCCAGTAAACTAGTGAATTACAAAAAAAAAATCCAATTACCTTGCTAGCCGCCCACCTTTACAACTGCGAAGGCAAGAGTATATAAAATAGACAAAATTAAATGGTGTCTTTAATATGCTATCAATCTCTTGCGCTTTAACAACATTGAACTTTTGCAAATATTTATCAGTATAATAAATAAATTATTTTACTTCTGTGAATATGTAAATGCAATGATATGAATTTTACAGATGTGTCATGTATTCTTTGTTTCAGAGATGGGTGCGCTGCTTTCGCAATTCTTTAGTCAATATTAGAGTTTCCACTACTAACGGCTTAGAAAGGCAGCATCACGAGTTAAAGAAAACATACTTGGCCAAGCACATAGATGGGACTCTATCCTCTACATTGTCTGTGCTTATTTCCAATTTTTTGCCAGAATCATACAAAAGGTAAAAAAAAATTTCAGTTTGTTTATCGAGATACGTCTTAATCAATAAAGTTATGTATAAATGTAAAATACTTTAATTTCCATCCTCATTTCATGTAATTTTTAAAGTTTATAAAGTATTACTAGATGAATTTTTATCAGTAAACCTAAATAATTTATTTCAAAGAATCCTTCAAAAGATACTATTATTTGATTTGTAGGTACATTCAGTACAATATCGAGAGTATGAATGAGTATAAAAGGTATTCACCACAGGTTCCGGAATTCTTGACCAACCGACCTAGATTTTTCGTGGAACACCTTGTCAAGAGAATTCCACCAAAGTGCCCCTATTTGCCTGAAGCCGCGATCACATCTCTTCCTAATGGAGAATTTCAGGTTACTAGTACAGATGGGGAGAACAGTTACACTGTCAATCTGGATAACCCTATGCCTAGTTGTTCTTGTTTGGACTGGAAAAAGTTCCATCTGCCATGCAAGCATATGCTGAACATTTTCTTTCATTACCCTGGATATAGTTGGGAATTTCTACAGCCAGAATACACAGACTGTCCCCATTTTAATTTGGACAGAGACATCCTTCAGAAAGCCCAGTTTTCAGAGGTTTTTGATTGCAGAACAGAAGGAGAGCAAAGCACCAGTGATGATAATACAACTGTTACTGTTGACTCAGACATGGTTGAAGCTGAGAATACAACTGTTGCTGCAGACATAAACGTGGTAGAAGCCGAGAATACACAAAAAGCAGAGAAGCAGAAGCCAAGAAGTTCCAAATTTAATTTAAAACTTCAATGCATACAATTGCTGAGAAGCTTATCATCCTCTATTTATATTGTTCCTGATCAAGAGAAACTTTTACCAGTTCAGGAAACTCTTCAGGAAAGCCTGTGCTTGCTTGAGGCATTAATACCCAAGGAGAGAGGCCTTCCATTGAGAACATCAAAGTCAAGACTTAAAAGACTGTACAGAACAAGATATAGATCCCTTCCTCTGAGGAGGAAAAGAAGGAAGCAGAATAGGCAAGAAGGGATAAAAAGTACACCAGGTAATTTTTAACATAAATATTTGTTTTTCAAATTAGGATTACATTCCAAATTATAATTTCAAAGAATAATTTGCTGTTTGAATATTTATATAATTGTTACTTTTCATGAAAGGACTGTTATTATCAATTAACTAATGGATCAGCTAGTATACAAAAGACAAAATACACTAGCTGTGTTTAAAAGAAACCAATACAAACAAACTGTAATTAAACAATACTCATATGCAAGAGAGTATGAATAAAAATCAATTACATATAAAATAACCATAATTTAATGTGTTTACTGCTCATGGAATAGGACCAAAGAAACCCAGAAAGTCAAGAGTGAGAACAGTGAAGGTGGAAAGATCTGAAAAACCACACTCTGGTGAGTACTTTTACTAAACTGAAAGCTTACCTAGACTTAACCTCTATTTTGTAATAAACTCAATTTCAATATATTTACCCAAACTAGAATAATTTCTTTAGGAATTATGAAGTAGGCAACCCATTCTATATGATACCAAAATGTTTAACCTATGATACCAAAATGTTTCACCTTTGGACTTTAAATTTGGAGGTTTTTTTGCTTTTGAAAAAGTTCAACCCTAGTTATTGACTGCCATATTGAGGCATAAGTGTTCACAAACACATTTTTTTTTTTTAATTGAACCCAGCTTACAATATGCAGAGTACTTTATTTTAATCCCATAAGGTACCCCATTATGTACATGTACATTTGGCTGTTGGGATTATTGCTGTCTTCTGAGTTTTATATTTGTTTTTACACATTTCCAGATGAGAGCAAAGTTGAAGAGGAAGTGAAAACCATAGAAGATAATGATCCATGTGTGTTGGACACTGGTAAGACTACTGAGTATAAAATAGTGTGAGGTATATATCTGTAATATTTTTTTAACAGATCATGTGTTGAAATTAAAAGCACTTAAAGATGTCACCTAGTAGAATAAAAGTACTAAAGATATATTAATAATTATCATAATAATTTACAATACCATGCAGGTCTAAGAAGTATTCTGAAGGAAGGGGGAAGAAATTCAACAACAAAGAAAAGAGTACATTTCTCTGAATTGTGTTCTTCATACCAATGTAACAAGGATGATGGTAATAACAAAACACCTGTCAGGGTTCGCACTGTTTATTAACAATTGTAATAATAATATTGGTATTGCCCTGAAATAAAAAATAACAATATTGATAATATTATAAAACCATAAAAGCACAACTCAATATTATACACAATGCTGCATAAAGGGAGGTAACTCTTATATTCATTACTCATAATACAATACTCTCTTAGAATTTACTTTGTGCATACTATTCAAATATTTAACAATGAAATAAATATTACTATTAAAGATATAATATCTACATAGACACTATATATCTTAACTTATAAATAATAAGACATAAAAATCTCAAATTTGTCATACACAAAATAGACCTCTCGACAAACAATCTGGACAAAAAAATGAGCAGAAAATCCAAGAAAATTTGGAGGGAATTTGACAAACCAATAAATCACAGGAACACAAAACTAAAACCCAATAGAAACAAATAACTTATAGGACTTATGGCCAGGACCTTAATTAATTATAACCTTAAAGGCAAATGACAGGATATAATCACTTAATGGTACACCTGAATTACCATAAATTTATCTAAAAAGCTGAAATAGAAATACATACATAATAAAATCAAAATAATTTGATTTTCATTTATTGATAAGAAATTAATTAATAAATTGTTTGCTCTTACACCAACATGGAGATGTTTAGGAGGTTCTCTATTTTTAACCAGATTTATCTATATAAGTTCTTTTATACTACATGTATCTCATTGCAGCTTTGAAAGAAGTGACAAAAATTTGGAGTCTGGAAAGAGGTGTGGGTTACTTTGTGGCTAAAGTTGGTGATTTCAATGTTACAGACACTGACATTCGCTCTCTGCATGGCACTAGATGGCTCACTGATCAGGTCCGTCTTTATATTTTAAAACACTTTTTAAATGGTTTCCAATATTCTAATTATGTGAGATACACTAGCAGTTCTATATTAACACAAAAGAAAACCATAGTGCTGTCACATTGACAGGTTTCCACTTATGTTATTTATAAAACAAATTGGCATTTATATGGCTTAAGTTGTGCTTACTCCATTAAACTCTCATTGTTACAGGTTATGGATGCCTATTTGGCATTTATTGTCCAGAGAGAGAGAGAAAAGGGTAACCTTGTCACACATTATCCTTCTCAGACTATGAGAAGTATTGTAGAAGGCACATTTTCAGTACAGAAATGCAGGCGAAGGGTTTGTTTCTTTCTTTTCGTTAAATCACACATCAGTTGTTAATGCCTCTCTACAAAGTTAAATTTTGTAATTCTGAATACATCTTTTGAATTTATTGGCATTTATAGATCAAAGTGCAGATCACTAACTGCAGGAAAACACAGTAGAATCTGAACTCTATTGTGCAGCATAGAGAGGATTCTTAATGAAATGCCTTTAATACAATGCTTGAAAGATATAATGTTTTAATTTAAATTGTTTCATTTTTGCATATTTTTTTATCTGCAGTTGAAACTTTGGGAGTTTTCCACCATTATTGGAGCAGTGTGTCAGAACTATCATTGGACCCTTGTGGTATGATTGCAAACATTTTGGCTGAATTATAATTTAACATGATAAATTTATTAGACCAATTAATTGATGGCTATGTTAAAAAATGAATATTAAATTTTAATTTAATGCAGATTATTGACTCTAGAAACAGGATCCTAACATTTCTTAATCCAAAGCACGAGGGGAGATCACAACTAGATGAAATTAAAAAGAATTGGTGGTAAGACAAACAGTATATAAACTACTTGTTTGATGTACTCTGGCTCTCTCATTGAATTTGCCTTTTTTTCCTTACTTCAAATTAAACCTTATTTCAAAATATTATGTGTATTGCTTTCAAATTTAAGATAGATGTCTTTTAGATTACAATGAACTTCAGTATTTTGAAATCCGATATCTCAAATACCATGGATATGTCAAAGTGATGTGGAAGTCCCAAACACTTATTCTTTAAGTATTTAATCTTCGATATCTCAAATCCTCGGAATTATCTCAAAGCTTATTCTTAGTCCCATCAGGTTCAAGATAACGAAGTTTGACTGTATATAGTTCAATTAATTGGTTTAGCTGTCAAGTGCCTAATAAAGAAAAATTCTGAGTCTGTTGTATATGCGTTTTGTCAAATTTTCAGCAAATATTATAAAGAATGCTAAATTACCTATTACCCAACTAAAACAATGTGGGACAGAGTACATAAAAAAAATAAATAAATAAAGATGGCCCAAGATCTGTATAAAGTTTATAGCTCAACTGATCTAAAGGCTCAGTTGGGTTTTTCTGTTGAAAGATATGTTAGCTTCTTTGTCATAAAATTTTTATAATCTCATCTTCTCCAGATTTCTTATGTTAATTGCAGGCACTCTTTGCATTGGGTATAATTGGGTAAAGGGGATTCAAGTTTGTTCAAATAAAGGGTCACACCATCTTCAATGGGGATAAAATAAAGAGAAAATATAAACTTGTTGAGTTCAAATTCACTCTCAATATATAACCTTTCGACCAGAATATATGTGACCTAATTGAAAGCCAGCTGCTGTGTGAGGAATTGAACAGTAAATTAGAATTGTGTGACAATGGGTAATTAACAAGGTTTAACATAAGAAAAGAAAGAGGTAATTGTTAACAATCTTATGAAAAGAAAATAATAATTAGTCATATTTACAATACATTTGTGTCCCCCAGAGTTAGATGAGGCTTCAATAGGTGATAAGGTTTACAAAAGAAATATATAGGACAAAGAAACTGCTTAGAAAGAAAAAAAGAGGCCAAAAGTAATGTAGAATCACATATTTTCATGGTGATGAATTTTCAATGTTGGAGAAAAATTATTGCTATGTGGGGGATTTGATTTCATGGTTGAAGAGGTGTTGAGTACTTAAGTAATGCATATCAAATTTTACATAGATGTTTCTTTTCTTCAGTTCATACATCAAGGAAAGGAGACAAGCGTACAAAGAGTTGGAGGCAGAAGATGACAACTGGTCTGTGAAGACATTGAAACACTCAAAACAAAGAGATGCCTTCAACTGCGGGGTGTATTGCTTAATGGTATGCTATCATCTTAACATATATTTATAAAGCTGAATTGTATCAATCTGTTGTAATTGGTATTACATGTACATGCATGCAAAACATGCAAAATACAAATAAATTAATATTAATCCTTTAATACTAATCAGTTTGCTGAACGCTACTTCCTGAAGGAACTGCTCACAAACATCACAGATCATTGTCTATCTAGAGCAAGAAAGGAAATAGCGACTACCTTGCTGACGTACCATGGTAAAATGAATTTTTGACTATTTGTATCTTGAAATTGACAATTGTTTAAAACTCCTCCCTCTCTCTGGTATTTTTCTTCCCTCTCTCTCTCTCCCTCATATTTTTCTCTTAGCTCTGATCTCTCTCTCTCAGACAGTCAAAAGGAACCTTTGTTTCCTCCTGAATTTGTTACCATAAACCTGTTTTACTTTGTAAAAAAATATCTAAATTCTGAAAATATGATTCATGTAAATGATACTTTCAATTGTTCCTTAATTAAATATTCTTCTGTATATTTGAAGTCTCGCAAGATACATGTCCTACATGTGGATTTACCACAAAAGAAGAAGTACAGGTATGTAATTTTTTCATAACTGATAATCGGTAACTTTCAGTTCATAAACATGTATTTCTTGCTCATTCAAGACAAAGTTTTTTTCTGTCATTTGAGAATTAACTCGTGTGAGTGAGCTTGTTCACTTTTTCTTGCAGTCTCTATGTAAGATATACAACTTGATTATTTAAGAATTATTAAGGTCTTCTGTCTTCAGTGGAAGACCTTGTTATTCTTAGGTTTCTTTATCACTTTTATTATTCTTTTTTTTCTTACTTATTCTTTTGTGCACGCGATTTTCAAAAACGGGTCGATGGATTTCCATGAAACTTTCAGGACTTATGTAACATTACTTGAACCTTATGCATTTTTTTCTGATTTGATGACGTCACTTCCGGTTTGGAGATATTGTCTATTTTATGATTTTTGAAGCGTCAGGTTGTCTCCAGACTTTCTCAATAATGGCTCAAGATAAAAACGTGAAACTTTCAGGTATGATAGACCAAAGTCTATAGATATGTATAGCGTATTTCATTTTTATCGGAAGTGCCACATGCCCGCGCCCGCTATGGCCGGAAAATAGTCGTTTTGCGAATCTCAAAATTTTTAACTCCTTTTCTACGATACTTTTTACTTGGAAATATTTTGCTATGAAATGTAGAACAAAAGAAGTGTTGAATGCCAAGATCTTTCAAATGGTATCTTGTAAAAAGGGCTGGCCTCTAAAATTAAGGGCCTACAGGGGCCAACAGTTTTTTCTTAATATCTCTAAAAGTATTGAGAATTTGTAATACATCAAAGAAGCAAAGTTGTTCAAAATATAAATTTTAATCTATTGGAGTTGTCAAAATACATCCGTTTCTGTAACTTCTGGCCAAACTGGAAGTAGTCTGAAAACGCATATTTTAGCTTTATTTTGACAAGTTTTGGGATAACATATGTCATTGAGAGCATAAAAAGTAATTTTCCGTCCATCGTCGTCACTTCTGGTCAAAGCGGAAGTAGCAAAAAATACTTTTTTTGCATTAATTAAAATAGCATTAGAGTTTAGAGGATTCAAACCATTTGGGGGCGTTATTTGTCATTTTTGTCAAAAATGAAAGCTACTTGCGGTCAAACAGGATGGAAGACCCATTCTGTTGCTTTGCAACGAGCTTTGCTCTAGTTATAAATATTATTTATTTTCTCACAAAGTATTATCTTTTTAAAAGTTGAGCAACATTCTATTGGCAATAATTTTTTTTTTTTAAGCAATATTTTATTCACAAATGTTATTGTGAATAGGATTGGGCAATAAATTTTGAAGACTGCTGCTATCTTAACATCCCTTAACTTTGTTTTTAGGCATTTTAATTGACATTTTCAGTAAAATTTTTAGATCAGGTGTACAAATTGTGCCAGATATTTCCACAGAAGAGAAGCATGTATTGGGCCTGAGAACGTGGACAGAAAATCATTCAAATGCCAAATTTGCACCAGTAGACCTGTGGTAAAACAAATATTCAGTTGTATTATTAAGTTTGTACTTTTATATCATTAAGTACCTATTTGTAAATGTCCTTTCTTTTTCCTGGAAATTAGAAATGTACAAAAAGGAAGATGGACACTTGCAGAGACGGTGAAGCAGATATGAATGAAAATTTGACAAAGGTCACGAGTACTATGAACAAGAAGGTCCATACAATTGAAGATGATGGTATGTCACAATGCTTTTCTGATTTCTATGTTTTTCACCCTCCTATGATGAGGTAATTCCACCTTCTTATGACAGGGCTCTCACACCCATTTATGGTACTGGGGCCGGGGCCATTGAAATTGGGAAAAAAGCGATGTTTTTATAAAAATTGGGAAATTTTTACCAGTCGTAATTTAAACTCATACATCATTGTCTTGTACTTAGTAGAAATATTTTTTTATATACTGACAACAGTACTGCAGGGATCAAACTTAACTTTTTGACCACTATAGCAAATATCAGCAGATTTATTTTTTTTCACTATGAAATTGTAGCATTTTTTGTCCTAATAGTGATTCATATAAGATTTAATAATCTATATAAAAAAGATAATTTACCTCTTGGAAGCATTTAGGCCATTTTATTACAGATGAAATCTGAACAGATACAGAGTAAATGAGTTGTGTAATTAAAAAAATCATCGTTATAAATTTAAAATTGAAATCATTAAATACACTGAGAATAATTATTTTTTTGGAAAATTACTTAACTTTTTTACTCAAGCTGATTAAGAGATCGTAAATAATTTAATGGAATATCTAACGTAACATTGTATAAATTTACCATGAACAAAGAAGTGGAGGAAATTCGGATAAAAAAAAAAACGATCGTTTTTGGAAGTAATCAAGTCAGGTAGTGCTGCAAAATGGATAAGATTATGGGGATTTATGAACTGTAGGAGCATGGTACCTATTATTTTTTAATTGTAAGGGAATCTAATAGCAAAACAGTGAATGAAATACCTGTAGGCCTATAGTGCTTCTCATTCAGTCTTGGTAATCTGAATTTTTTTAAAGACCTTTTTTTTCTCGCAAAAGATGGCAACAATAGGTCGCTTTTAACTCTCAATTTTTTATTTTAATTCTCATTTAAAGAGTATTTTCCATTAATTTTGAGCCCTGACACTGACATCATAGATCTTCACATTCTGCGACATGTTGTGAATGAAGAAGGCGTACCTACTTTACTACAGACGACTTTCATTTTCATACTAAACTGGTTCCAGCATATAAACAAACTACTAGTTCATAACACGAACGTGTTTCCTTCATATCTTCACAGTGCTTTTACGACTGTCAAAGATGTGCTTTTTTTTGTTACAGTAATAAACTCGAAGCAATCATACATTGGGAAATTTTACACTTAAATTTGGGAAAAAAGGTACCTTTTTCACGTTGGGAATGGGGCCGAATATCGGCCCCAATTATAGAGAATCGAGAGCCCTGTATGATGTCATTGGTTTTTGCAAAAACTTTTATTAAGTTTTAAATTAATACCTAAAAGAAAAATATCCTTTGGAGGAATGCTTTTCAATAGCTGTATTGATAAATTTTGTAAATTAAAAGAATTTAAAAAAATGCAAATTGTCTTTTTTTAATCAATTATTCAATTTTTAAAAAAATGTTAACAATAGCAATTCTCATGTCTTTTCATTCAGACATTTATATATTATATATCATATCAATGTATTAAACAGTTTCCCTGATATTCACAACTCAAAAGTATCTCATAAGTCAGGAAGTATTTAGGAACATTCAGCATCAGAGTTATGCATTTTAACCAGTTTTTACATAGTTTTCATAGTTCTGTTTACAAAGAATGAGCAATTTTTGTTGTTGACATATACTGTTTATTTATGTCTCCCATCTTAAATAATATGGAGACCTTTACATTTCTTGCAATAATTGAAAAATTGAAAGTATACTCTTCAAAAAAAGAAACGCATAGTAGGAACAATGTCCTGAAAAATGTTTGATAGTTTTGTCATATCTTGTATTTTTGTATGGATACTATGTATTCGAGTAAAATGCATGATTTTCCAATGCAGTTGTTAACTTTACAGCTATTCTAAATTTCTCACAGACAAAAAGACCTGATTTTGCATAATTTCCCCACATTCTTAAAAGATTTAGTCTAGAACAAGCTTTTTCATACAAATTATTTAGCAGGGGACGTTTTCTCGATATTTTGAATCTGGTTTTATCTGAAAAATGAAGCTTCCAAAAAATGCTGCATCTGAATGTTGCCTGGCACAAAATGGAAAATAGGCAAATGAAAGCATGGGTACTGCAATTTACAATTGCAAGAGGTTGTAATGTTACACACAGACCATATCTAACCTATAAAACATAAACCATCAACATCGAACACCCAATGTTAGCGAAAAATATGGTAGACTAAGTTTGACATCAGCAGCTCAGCATCACTTCCGAGGATTACGTAAATTGCATGAATGTAATGCAAGGACATCATCTAAAGCACTACCTATCCCTGAACTGCACAGATCATCTAACAAGATCGTTTTCAGTTGACTACAAATTATTGCAAGAGGATTATTCCTACCCCACGACACCCCGAATATCGACTTTAGAGATCTCAGATCAACAGAGTATGACTACAGCATCACTGCTTAACATTATGGGTAACCCACTAGTCCAGAATGTTTATCTGAAAGCCTCTTATAAGTTAAAGAGTGCTAATGCTTTGTTATGAATGTTAGACAGATAACTGTCTCCAGGACGTTAAAAAAAAATGGTGGTTGTAGTGTAATGATACAGAAAATGGTATTATAAGAAAATAAGATTGATTTGGTTCGAATTCAATTGACTTTGATGGAAAAATTACATGCAAACCAAAATTCTGGCTACACATGGAAACCATTCAAGTTTGCAACATCCTAGAGCCGTATTGCAATCTCACAATACACTGCCACATATGGCTCGTTTGAAACACCTATTCATGAAAAGAAACAACAACCTGTTTCAACCACAGTTATCTAAGTCGCTAGATTTAATCCAAATAAAGCAGCATTGGACAAATTGGATTGACATGAATGGCCAAAGACAATCGCATCCCCAGACTCTGCAACAGCTGACCAAAGTTTTACATTTGAAGTGATCGAGAGAGCATTACTGTGCAGTTTTATTACACACATTTGCTTCCATTAGATGCCGTTTGTGGCTATCATTTGTGTCTGCTGGGGGCATACCAGATATTCATCTTTAATGGTCTTAAACTGACTTTAATTTTAAAATTGTTGAGTAATTATGCCATTTAGATAGTATTCCTGTTGCTTACCACATTTCTGTTTTATCAATGCATCATTTTACTAAATAAACTTTATTTTCAATGTGTCACTAAGATTCTACTATGCGTTTCTTTTTTTTTTTTTTTGAAGAGTATATATTAAATGAAAATAAATGCAGTTTTTGTACTTCGAAACATTAGAATGGTGAGGGTGGAAAGACCTTAAATAAAAAAAAAAAATCAAAGCATTTCCTTGTACTACTCATTTTTGTAAAATAATGTGTATTCATTGCAGGTATTACAAAACTTGGTATCAACAAAATAGAGGTTACAGCAGCATCACCTAACAGCTTTTGTGCAGATGGAAATGGTATGTATTGAGAATTCCAATGTCAGCTTTATGAGACATGTACACTGAAATCCATGTAATTCAACACCTGTGCAATTTGTTTCCCTTCTGGTGTGATGGGCTTTAAAGAATTCTTATCATGTGTATTTCAAGAAATTTATTATTATTTATATTTTTTTTTACTATGAAACATTAATTAAATTTCCTTTAACATTACTTTGAAATAGTAATGGAATTTCTTTTATCATTGGTTTAGAAAATACAAATCCTGTTGAGCTGTTGTGGTCTTTGGGTAAGGATTTTTACATTCCTGTTGCTAAAGTGTGTGGCAAATTGGTAATGGATGAAGACATTCGCTCTTTAAGAGATAAGGAATGCCTCACAGACAGGGTATGTAACAAAACTGATGATTGTGAACTTTTAAATGATCATATCATGAGAATAATGACAAGTTATTGACAAATGATTGGATATTGTAGATAAAATAAAATTGCATTTATTTGTATCCTTTATTTCAAGGTGCTAGACTGTTATTTGTCCCAATTAGTTACTGTCCATAATGGGTTGGGTAGAAAAGTGATTTACTACAATCAAACACAGATGACTAATATCATCAACTGTTCATATCAGATACCAGAGGTGTCAGATTGCTCTGTGAGTGCTTATACTTCTTGAATTATTTCCTTTCAAAGGATAGAAATTTGATATTTTAATAACAAATATTAATCTGATTTCAAGAAAGCCCTTCAATTCATAATAAAACTGGAGTCGATTTTTTTTTTGGGCTTCCTATAGTGGTAAATCCAAAGAGAAAAAGAAAATTGGTTGAAAGGCAGGTGGATCTGTGCATTTCTTATGTCATAGTGCCTTTAATTATTTTGTTAATGTATTGTATTCATACTCCTGCTCCGAAGGAGAGGGGGGTATACTGTTTTACCTTTGTGTGTCTGTTTAGCTGTTCGAAGCAAATTTTCGTTGCTGTTTTTTCAGCAACTATTCATCACAGATGCATGAAATTTTTTCACACCCTGTTTAGGCATGCCATATGGTGGGATTCATTTCTATATGAATCTGATGTTAACTTACTGTTTATCCATGTGTCTGTCCGTAACTTTTTTTTGTATCCTTATATCAGAATTTTATTTTTTTCTAAAGGTCTTGACTCACAGAATATTGAAACAGTTTCTGTTTCAAATTTTGACAATTTTTTTTTCATCCATCAGTGGTTTATAAAATTTTCAGGTGAGCAATTATGTCTAATATGTGTTTGAAATTTCAGCACACTCTTTGTTTAGGCATGCCATATGGTGGGATTCACTTTTCTTCAAATACAGTGTCAACTTCCTGTTTATCCGTGCGTCTGTCCGTACCAAAATTCTGTCACAGTTCTCTCAGCAACTACTCATTGCAGATACTTGAAATTTTAGCACAATCTTTGTTTATGGCCAAGGTTTAAGTTTTTTATAAAGTGGTCAAACTCTAAGGTCAGAAGGTAAAAAATATTTCTAGCAGATGAAAGTTCTTGCCACAATGAATACATGTGTGAAGTATGAAAGCCTTAGCATCAATTGTATTTCAAACTTGTGAAGGTCAATTTTGAAGTCAAATTAGATATATCCATAGAAACTGACCTTATGAATATATTTTGTTGTATCATAAAAACACAGCCCCTATACATGTATGAAGTTATAGGCAAAGATAAAGTTTTTTTGCGGACAAACAAACAGACGGATGGACAGGACAAAAACTATGTACCTCCAAATCTTAGATTTTAGGGGCATAAAAGAAATGTATGAATGAAAAACTCCAGTGTTGGTAGAGATATTCTACAATTGAGTACTTTTTTTTTTTATTCTTTGTGACAGGAATCCGATTTTGATGCTGATGTCATATTGGGGATATATCATAGATACTACCACTGGACGTTACTGGTATTGTTGTTTTGTTGTTTGGTATATATTTACTGCAGAGCAGAAGCTTGTATGTATATAAAGTTCTCACGTATATTTTGGTTTCATACTTTCCACACCATTCTTTCATTTGTTTTCATATACTAGTACTACTTTCACTATAGTATTTACACCAAAATATTTCTTCTTTTAAAAAAGTAAATATTTTAACTTTAATTATAATTGTCATTAGATTGTGGAAGTCAAGAAGGAAATCCTTTATTTCTATAACCCCTGTGGTGAAAGGAAAACAGAGATGCGGAAGATTTTGAGCAGCTGGAGGTAAATGATCAATTAACGAGGATATTTTTACATAGAAATACATGTATACATACAGGGAGAAATGTTTGAAATCTTCTTAAGAATGGCAAAATCAAGATTAATTATATTGATATGGAAGCAATGCCCTCTGATAGTGTTTAGATTAAAATTTTTTCAAATAATAACCCATGGGAGACCCAATTTCTATGAGGTAAAATATAAAAAAATTCTTCAAGCTTTTTGAAAGTGGAACAAAAGTAATTGAAATGTATTAGTTATGTTCATATAGTAATTGAGAGTAATTAATTACAATTGTAAAAATCAGTGTAATTGTAATTGCAAGTAATTGACAAAATTTCCAATGTATTTGAAAGTATTTAATTACATATCAAAGTAATTAACTCTCTATTACAAATTTGAATAATAACCTTGTCATTGTATTCTAATCAAGTGTGGATCTGTTTAATTAACAGAAAGAAGTAGCAGTTATAGTATTTTAAAGGAGTAAAACATACTCTTCCAGTTATGCATGTACAAGATATATCTTTCTAATTAGGAAATATGAAAAGGATTACAGAGAGAAAGTAAATATCCAGACAAAGGTTTCTGATTGGAGGATCACATCAACTCCACATACAAATCAAAAAGATGCTTTCAATTGTGGAGTGTTCTGCTTGATGGTGAGGTTCCTAATATACACATGTATATACTGTAAAGTTTTTGATATTGAATCCAGCTATTGAAATGTATACAAACACAATTTCTTATATTCATACATGTCAGGAAGAAGATTTAGATTATGCATATGATAAAGTATTATGTGAAAAAGTATTTGAAAAGTGATTATAATAGTTTGCAGAGAAACATCTATCCGGAGATTTGAAATGCTTGATGACAGTCACATCAGCGGATTTGAAACACATGAGAAAAGCTGTTGCATTGAAATTAATGGAGGGCAAAGGTAATTATGAAAAAACATTTACTTATAAGTATCCTTCATTTTATTTAATCATACATGTACATTATGTGGTATAGGATGTTTAGCTCATCTCTTCATTGAGATGAGCTTGTGTTACATCGACAGCGTTATAGTGTGGGCATCCTCAGGATAAAGTTTTAGAAGCAGGTTCATTCCCAAGTAAATATAAGCCCTATCTGGACCCAACTTGCATGGGTGATGCATCTAGGAATGGAACTACTACACTTGCTTCAGGTACTGGAACTGATCTGCCTTAAAATATGTAAATGGATATTGTCATATTGCTTATTTTAATTACAGTAAAGCAAAATGTGAGATGTGCATACTTTTGATGAAAACATTTGTCTAGGTGTGCTTCATGAGGTTGGATTAATTACCTAATATATGTTTTACTCTAAAATTAAGAAAAGAGAAAAATAAAGGCTGTATTGCAGCCCAGGAGTCTTTGAAAATTGGTTCAGTTGCTGTACTCTCTTGACTGACAGGCAGAAAAAAAGTTGATGGGCTGTAGCTATTAATCTCTAGGAATAAAATTTTGTATTGTGCAGTCTGGAACATAAAAATGAAAATTCAGCTTTGATGTAGAAGGTGTCATGGTAAAATATTAATTCAGTCCAAAAATACCTACTGACTCAATTTAATTTCATCATCAGATTGAAGAGGTCATACAAACATTTTAAAACTTGTCTGATATCAATTTCGATGGAATATTGTCATATGTATATTAAAATTTAAATATTTGAGCATTCATTCATGTTTATTAAAACTTCAAATATTTAAGCATCCATTCAATTACATGTATTGATAAAGTGTTGATGTAACTGTGCTTTAATGCCTTAAAATTTGCATGTTTATGTCTAATTTTTTCTGATTTCAGTATTTCTGACAGAATGTTGTCCAAAATGTGCAAAAAGCATTGAGGGGGATGAAAGTGTAAGTTTTTAACAAACACAGATGTATTCCATAATTTCAGAATTAAATATTCATGAAGTGTTATCATTTTGTTATTTTATGCAAACCCTTCATACTGATGCATGACCAACTAGTGCATGACTCCATTCATCCCCCAGAATATGTGCCAATAATTATTTCTGTAGGCCATCATTTAAAATACCGTTGTTTCCCCTAGCCCGACTCTTAAATCTCAAGTAGGGTACAACAGACAGCAGATTAAAAAATACGTTTTTTTAAAATTTAATGGAAAATGAATAAAAGTATAACAAGAAAGCAATTTGTGGACAGAATGATAAAAATGTCTGTTATAAGCAAAATCTTAAGGAAAATTAATTCAAAATCATTATTCAACTGAATTGCTGAATGAACTCATCAGTGTAAAACTATTGAAATCCAACAGTTAAAAAGACAAGGTTCTCAAATTGGCAAAGACTGAACATCATATATATTTTTCAAATCTACTATCAGCGTCTTTTAGAGTCTTATAAAAGAAATATACACTGTTCATACAAGAAAGATGAAACAAGATTTCAAAACTATGTAGAAATAGAAAAAAAAAAACCAATATCTATTGAAACAAATGATATCTAATATGATAGAAATGCCAAACACAAAGTCATAGTCTCGGAGTTTAACCCATGAATGAAAGGCTTTGAATAAAAGATGTTTGAATCCTTTTCATCAAGATAAATATGCAGATATATTTACAACAACTACTAGGATCCTGTATAGAAAACATGGGAACATGGACAAACTGTTAATTAAATCAACTTGAGTTAAGTAAAATGCTGTGAAAATTATGGTTCACAAGGTGGTTCCCTCATCCGCACATGAGGCAGGCCCACGTAGGTATCGAAACTAAAAAAAATAGTTTTAAAAACCACTCCAACTATAAATTAGTCAAGTTAATGTTAACAGTATGTTTCAAAAGTGGAGAGCTCTAATAAGCAGAAGGCATATATAAGCTTGAAATGTCGCTGTTGTTTTATAACACTAACTAACTCACTATGACCCTCATGTTCCCAACAAATGCTTTTAAATCACAAAAGAACATGATTGATCATTTAAGTAAAGAGGTATTTTATCTGTCAAATGAATTTAATAAAAAAGAACAAAAAACTTATCAGTCGGCATGATTTGAAAGTGTCAGTTGCGTTATGGGAAAGTCAATAAGGTATTTTTTATTTTGTCCTAACCAACCTTATAAGAATATTTCATTAGAAATTATATATATATATATATATATATATTTTGGCAGATGCATATACTTTTTATTTTTTCCTTTGCATTGATTCCTTTTTACAGATAAAATGCAGCACATGCAGAAGATCTTTTCATTTTAAGCCATTTTGTATTGAAGAAGATTTGGCAGACATCAAAGAAGCAGAGCACTTTAAATGCAGACTTTGCAGAATTAACTTCTGGGTAATTATTAAAACTTGTATTTCATCACAAGAAAGATATTGAAAACAATAGAATCTGTGGCTAAGATTTTATTGTTTTTATGACCAAAAGTTAGAGCCAAGTGCATGTAAGAGTTTAATGATTGTTTTTTTTTTTGGTTTGATATACTATTTTATGCAAGATTTTGAAGATTTCACTGTAAAATTATGTCCGAAATGAAAGAAAATTTTGAAGTATGGTTGAAAAACATTTCTACAAACTACAAAAATTTAAAATTTTAATCAACATTTTTTTTCATGATGGATTGTAAAGAGACACTTTATTTAATCACTTCTAGTTGATACAAGCTCTCTAAAATAAATAGAAATGTAATGCTCTTTAACTGTATAGATGTAGTTTTTGGACTAGAATGTAGTTCATCAATATAGATTTAAAAAAAGAAATAGATTTTAATTTTTCTTTTGAAGAATGAAGAAGAAAGCCATTATAATTTGAGGAAACATCCATTAAAGGTATATTTTCTATATATCGGTTGAGTATTGTATATATGCAATATACCTTTTCTGAATTAAGGGGGCCGACTATAGTTTTATTGTGTGAAAACTACAATAGCGAAACTCTTCATTTTTATACCATATACTATTTACATCAACTTCAGTGTACATGCAAAGCTTGGGGAAATTCTGTCTTCCAGGTATTTTTGAGGGACCGTCTCAAAATACAGGTACATTTACTATAGGATTATATAGGAAAATGCCAAATTTAATAGCATTTTAAAGCAAATTATACAAATACTACAAAAGGCATTTTTTTAAAACTATAATATTTTATGAGTAATACTATATGATACAATATATGTAAGAAACAGAAAATTCTACCGCCTTTTTAAGAAAGGGGGCATCTCAAATTTTACTATTTTTATAGAGTACTACAAAATATGACACAAACAATGGATTCACAAGAAAATGTAAGAAAAATATTGGAGACATTCTAAAATTTCTATATTTTAATTTCAAGAGCGTATGTTTATTACTTTTTCTGTAATAATATTTTTATTACCCCTTTCTTTAAGAGCTCCAGATAACCATAACGTCATAAAGACACCGCAGCGACGTCAACCTACCTATCAATTGCAAAATTGGTTAAATAATCAGTTTTATCAAATTGTAATTACATTTTATACCCATGATTTCTTAATTTTGTTAGATTTTAATAATTAATCGAAATACCCTTTATTTTACTATGATGCGCAAAATATTGCGCAATAGAAACTATAGTCGGCCCCCTTAATATATTTGGGATGAAGAAGCTATTAAATGGTTATACATTTATATCTACATTTTTATCATCTTTGTTTCATGGGACAGAGTAATTATAATCTAAGTAAATTTTTTCAGAAGAGAAAGAGGAGCTCTTTCTTGTACTCCAATATCCATGGAAGGTAGACGTGAAGGAATATTTCTTGTATTTGTATTTAAAGGTCACTTAAGTGACCTATCGCTAACTATTTTCGTCTGTCCTCGTGCATTATGCGTCAACATTTGAACATTTCCAGCTTTTTCTCTGCAACCACCCAACCAATTTCAACAAAAAATATAGTACATAGTATTTATGGGTGAAGGGAAATGAAAATTTTGATTTTCGTGGTCCTTGTCTCCTGGGGCCTCAGGGGTAGAGCCAAAAGCACCAAAATTAATGCAATCTTTAAAATTATTCTTCTTTACTCCTGGACATCCAGCAGTCATACTGTTGGCATAATCGTAATCAGCATTAAGTCTTCCACCAAATTAAAGTAACCAAAGTAAGCATGCTAAGTGTATATTTATGATAAACAATGGTGCCTCTTTCAAAATGGTAAATTTCATGGATTTTGGATTTAAACATGAACCAAGTTAAATTGCTGGAAGGTTGTTACATGATACTCAGGTTACCTATATGGCCCATGGGCCTCTTGTTTCCTTTATTTCTGCTTACAGTTGTTATTGATGTTCTATTATGTTAAATTGTTGGAGTTGTTATACTTGTCTTTGAGACTTATTTCAGTTAAAGAGTAAGGACATTAACGATAATTTGATTGCCCAAGCAAGTAAAATTGATATTTTTTTCTAACTTGTACATATATTAAGTCTATATAAACTATTCTGGTACTTACCTTAAATTTAACTATTTTTTTATGTACACATTTGTCTTAAATCCCTTGCTATCACTTCTAGATGAGTCATCGAGTATCTGTATTCAGTGAACATGGGAATACCGTGTATTTGCATATTTATAAATGGCATTAGACCAAAATTTATATTGTATGCAACTTATTCATTTATAATTACCAGTATGTTTATGTCATATTAACTGTTGAACATAATAGATGACATGTACATAATGTACTTTAGAATGAGAACTGATATTTATCTTTTTGAAGTTCCCATTGAAATACAGTATGTGTAAAATGATAAGCAGAGTTCTTTCATCCTTGACAATATTACTTTCATACATGTCAAATTTTGAGTATGGGCAATATGAACTTAAACCTTATGTCAGTTTCCTGGAGGTAGAAATTGCTCTAAACCAAACAGCGTTAAAAGAAATCAAAACTCACAATTTATTTATTATATGTTTTTATGCAACGTACACCATGAATATGCCCAAGGCATATCGTCTTTGTCCATCTTCTGTCCGTCCGTCACAGTTTGCATTTAGCACAGTTCAAAGCTAAGTTTCAAAGAAACTATTCAAAAAAATTTATCAAACTTCATATGCTGCGAGATATTGATGAGAGCTATGCAACTGCATTAATATTTTTAGACTTGACCTTTCCTTTGACTTTACCTCACTTTACTTAAATCAGTGATAAGCTTAGTTTTAAAGCAACCAATCAAGATTGTGTAATCAAACTTCATAAGTTGATACATACTGTTCATACATACTAGTACATGTACAAGCTTTTCAACTGCATCAATATTTCTTGACCTTGCAATTTCCTGTGACCTTCACATCCCTTTGTTTTAATTTATATAAAGAAAACTAAAAGAAAAGATTAATTTTTATCTAAGCATGCACCTATACATGATTTGGTGAGAATTTATCATACATATCCAGTTTTTTAAATTTCAATAAAAAATAACATTGAAGATATTTTTATCAAACTTAATCATACACTATAGATACAATTTTCATACTGGATTACCAATATATACTTGGCGGGGCATTCATGTCCAATGAACACTGTTCTAGTTTATTACTATTATTCTTATGTAAAAACTGGGTATATTGTTATGTTTTTATCCTTAAATGAATTAGTAAAGCAGAGTTAAAGATTATGTGTGTATTTACTTCAAATGACTGTACCCAATATCTTCAAAAGACCTTATTTAATAATATGCCATCATTATTGTGCATACTTGTTTTTCCATCATAAAGAAGTGTTATCAATTGCTGTAATTGAGTCTTATTATTAATTGACATTTTCTTATTTTTTGCTTTTGAAGACAATTTTATAGTGGTTTATTTTCATAAACATTTTAAATTATTATTTGTGCTCTTTTTCCAGATATCAACAAGAAACAAGAGGAGACCAGGACAAAGATAAAAAGATGTAGGTTAACCTTGTATACTCAGTAGATAAATTAAGAATGTGCTTTTTTTTTTACCCATGCACCTTTTCCATTCAAGAGAAGAAAAGTAGGAGATGGGATCAGTAGGTGGAAGGAGAACTTATAAATTTGTTTGCCCTTTTGCATAGATCTAATTGTCCAAAGAAGGATTTGTTTGATTGATAGAGAATATCTAAATTCAAACTACTTCTGCTGTTCTATCTACTTGTTGAATACGTTTAAAGGCTGATCAAATTTCACATTTTCTTCATTTTTTTTCCCATTTAAAATGCCCCTTGAATGAGTATTTCTTATTTACAGTGAAGCTACAGAGACCATTTCTGGTGATGCTGTCATTGGAAGGCCAGATGGTTATGACGACACCAACCCTCCATCAAGTCTCCTTGTTGAGTATGTTTAAAGGCTGATCAATTTTCACATTTTCTTCATTTTTTTTCCCATTTAAACTGCCCCTTTAATGAGTATTTCTTATTTACAGTGAAGCTACAGAGACCATTTCTGGTGATGCTGTCATTGGAAGGCCAGATGGTTATGACGACACCAACCTTCCATCAAGTCTCCTTGTTGAGTATGTTTAAAGGCTGATCAATTTTCACATTTTCTTCATTTTTTTCCCATTTAAACTGCCCCTTTAATGAGTATTTCTTATTTACAGTGAAGCTACAGAGACCATTTCTGGTGATGCTGTCATTGGAAGGCCAGATGGTTATGACGACACCAACCCTCCATCAAGTCTCCTTGTTGAGTATGTTTAAAGGCTGATCAATTTTCACATTTTCTTCATTTTTTTTCCCATTTAAACTGCCCCTTTAATGAGTATTTCTTATTTACAGTGAAGCTACAGAGACCATTTCTGGTGATGCTGTCATTGGAAGGCCAGATGGTTATGACGACACCAACCCTCCATCAAGTCTCCTTGTTGAGTATGTTTAAAGGCTGATCAATTTTCACATTTTCTTCATTTTTTTCCCATTTAAAATGCCCCTTTAATGAGTATTTCTTATTTACAGTGAAGCTACAGAGACCATTTCTGGTGATGCTGTCATTGGAAGGCCAGATGGTTATGACGACACCAACCCTCCATCAAGTCTCCTTGTTGAGTATGTTTAAAGGCTGATCAATTTTCACATTTTCTTCATTTTTTTCCCATTTAAACTGCCCCTTTAATGAGTATTTCTTATTTACAGTGAAGCTACAGAGACCATTTCTGGTGTTGCTGTCATTGGAAGGCTGGATTGTTATGACGACACCAATCCATCATTTAGACATGGTTCAACAAGTCATTCTGGTAGGGAAAATTAGACAATTTAGTACCAAGAAAGTTAAATTATGTGATAGTATCACAATTTTACCCCTAAGGGCATAGTTCATTCTTCTAAAAGACTCATCTGTATAGCTGTCATATTCCAAATAATAAAAAAAAACACCAAAATGCTAGCTTTCAGTGTGATTAACATGTGCAAAAGGTTTACAATAATTATACCCCCTGCAAACAAGGTTTAGGGGGGGGGGTATATTGGAATTAACCATGTCCGTCTGTCTGTCTGTGGAAGAAACTTTGTCTGGAACATTACTCAGAAACTATTGGAAGGATTTGTCTGAAAATTTGTACACATATTATTCACCAAATGAAATTGTTCACCTGATATTTTCATCTAAATTGGATCATTATTTTGAATTTTAACAGGAGTTTTTTTCATTTCTATTTTGTGGTTTTGTCTTGACCGTTTCTCAGAAACTATTACAAGGATTAATCTAAATATTTGTACACTTATTATTCACCATATGAAGGTGTGCACCTGGAATTTTCAACTCTTTTTGTTAATTTTTTTTTTTTTGCATTTTACATGTTTTATTTTTTATTTTAATTTACTTGTACATTTTGGGCTCATGTATAAGGTTTGAGATATAGAATCTAGAATATCTGTTCAAAAATACTATAGCTTAAAACTACTCATATGAACTTAAAAAAAGAAACATCATAACATGTTAAAAACAGTTTTTACATTGCACAGAAGATAATGTAATTAGGGCCCCGCAAGGATTTGCGGGTGCCTTATAGTTATCACTCTGTCTGTCCGTCTGTCTGTCTTCCGTCCACAAATTTTCTGTTTTTTTCTAATAACTTTTTTTATGGTTGCCCAATCAAGTTCAAATTTGGTATGGCAGTTCAGTAGGCAGAAATACATATTTTGATGCTAAGTTTGGTTCTCAGTGTCTTCTGGTTTGGAGCTGGGGTGGTGGGGTAGATTCCTTAACTATGCATAAGAATGAATAGGCAACTTTTTTTATGGTTGCCCAATCAAGTACAAATTTGGTATGGTAGTTCAGTAGGCAGAAATACATATTTTGATGCTAAGTTTGGTTCTTTATGTCCCCTGGTTTGGAGCTGGGGTGGTGGGGTAGATTCCTTAACTTTAGAATGCATTGGTAAAGAGAGATAACTGCTGAAGATGTTCCCATTGTAAAATGAAAGCTGGCTATGAGTCCCTTGGGATTAATTAGCTTTCCTCCTGAAGAAAATCCAGAGCATTATCTTTATCTGTCACATTGAGATGAATTACCACCTCTGTCTGCAAATGAAGTTTGTTTTGAAGTTAAGTCAATTTGGAATGCTATGAACACTGTGAAATGTGGATTTAGATATAAATTTTTACAATTTATTTTTGTTTAATAGTTATGATCTCATTGAATTCTAAAAACAAGAAATACGAGGGTTGATCCAAAAGTAATGTCACTGTGTCCATATCTTTAATATTTGGCGTCATATTATCAAATATAATGCACCAAAAGATGCATAATCATAAATCTAATCAAAATTGAAACTTTCATTTAATAATGTTCAATTGAATTCATTTTATAGATTTTTTAAACATTAAACATAGGGGGTGTCGCCGCGTCACAACTAAACGTCACGTTTTAGAGTAAATATTGTTAGAATGAAAAAAGACAAACACATTTAAAAAAGTATCTAAAAAATCGTCTAACCGTCCAATATTTTAAAAGACAAAATTTACGACATTTTCTAATCTTTATTTAAAAATTAAATGGCAGCATTGGTTTTTTTTTCATCATAAACAGTATTGTTTATATCTGATGTACTGCAGAAAGGAAATGTCGAAATGGAATGAAACACCGAAACGAGTTGTAATGTATTTTGCCTTCAAAATTGGGAAATCACAAGTAGAAACAGTTATGATGGTAAATCAAACTCGCAGACGAAAGAATGTCAACGAGAGACTTCTTCATAGATGGTTTCAGAGATTCTGGGCGGGTAATAGGTAAATAAATTATCATTTGGGGACAGAAATATCGAAAGATAGGAGGTCGGGTGGAAACGTTCAATATCGTCGACGTTGTCGCGTAAAAGAGATTCGTGGCAGTTTGAGTGATATGAGACACTTTTAAGTTTGTCTTATGGTATTGTTCAAAGAATTTTGATGAAGGATTAAATTATAAAAAAGTGTACAATTGGTGCCAATTGTTCTTAAAGAAAATAAAATATGTGAATGTTTTGTGAATATCATTTTTTTTAATTAAACGATGAGAAGGCGTTTTTAAAAGTGTGTGACGGCGCATATCCGTTTTATGACGTTATTTAGGTGCGGCGACTACCATAATTGCACTCTGTGTTTAATTCGATATTTTTGAAAAGTATAAGTCATTTTATTTTGAATTTTTCAGGACTGATTTAAAATATATATAACTTCCATCATGTAAAATTTTGTTAATTTAGGTCGACTAGGAGAAATTTTATCGAAGTTGTGACATTACTTTTGGATCAACCCTCGTAGATTAAAAAAAAGATTTATTTATTCACTTTTTTCACTTAATGTTAATTAATTTTTAAGGTAGTTTTATAAAAACCCCATTCTATCATTAATACTGAAAAAAATCTTTAAATATTGTAACTTTAGAAGAAAATGATGAGAGAGGTACAATTAATCCTTTGGGATCAATTATCTAGCCTGCTGCAGAAAATTTAATAGGCTTTTCTTTATCTTTAAGATTAATGAACCTTTGTCTGCAACTGCTGTTTGTTTGAAGTTAAGGTCAAACCTTCATGATATTTGCATTCATTGAAGGCTGGCATTCTATATAACACAAGCTTCATAATTGTTTTAATACATTCAATGTTAAGTTGTTCTTCACTGTCTAATGTAAATACAAGGATATTATTTTCAGGTTTTTGAATATTCAGGAATTATCTTGAAATTTTAAGAATACAGTTGCTGTTGCTTATTCTTCGTAGATTTTTTAATCATTTCGTAAGCTGCACCCTTTTAATTCTACCCCATGGCGGGGCCCTTGCTGACTGGTCAGTTTTCTAGTTTCATTTGTTTTGGGAATAATGTCTGGACATGCATCCAGTTAAAGATAAATTAATGAGTTTGGTGTTGGAAGTTGTTAAGGCATATCTCTTATCAAGCGTGTGTTATCTATCTCCAGGGAATAAGGCACAAGAAATAAAGATCTCTCTTCTCTTTTTCTCTTAATTGTAATTTATTGTCTGTCAAAGCACTTCATTACTGGATGACCAGCTCTTTATTTTCAAAATGCATTTCAAATAGATATGTCAAGATTAATTTGATTTTGTATAATGGTTTTTTTTTTCAACAATCAGTTTGCAAAGTGATATAACACATAATTGCAGTATATTTTTTGAATGCAGTAATAAAAAAAAAAATAAAATGAAAAAAAAAATTTACAATGGAATTACAATGTATTAGTATTGATGTTTCATTTGGTTGCACATTTGTTTCATTCATTAAGATACATGATGAGCAATTATATTTACTGCAAATTTTTTTTAAGTAAATTGTGAACATCTCTAGATCCATAAAGTATTTTTGAATTGGCACCTTATCTGAAAAACCCAGCGAGGGGTATTTGTCCCTATTGGACAGTTCTAGTTCATATAGTTGGTAGCATGCACATAAACTGACTATAAAGACATTTGATAAAATCTTTGAAAACTGATAAGCAATGTTGATTATATTTTTATTTTCATTTTTCAGAACTGAATATGGAGTTCATTGCCAAACATGTTAGTATGTTTGAGAAGTGCATTTTATGAAAAGGGATGAAGATAATTAACATTGATATACCTTGTAACAACTTCAAATATTACAAATTTGTAAACACTCACTGGACATAAAGAAACACTCTTGAAAATTCAGAAGTGTGATCATGCTTGGGATGAAGCATCCCATACATTTTGCATAAAATGTATGATATAGGTAGAATTTCTGATGCTTATTTATCTCCTTCATACAAGTCTTTTTATATTGCAGGTCAACAACATTGTAAATACTTTATCAGAGATGATGAATTGCAGTCTAACCAAATGGTAAATTGTATCAAATTTTTATTCTTTGTAGCTGTACACTGCTCTTAATGGAAAGGCATTAGAGAGGTAGAGATCTTAAACTTGTACGGGTACGTGTACTTGTATATATTCTGACGTACACATATACGTTTTTTTTTTTACTTTGTCTATTGAGATTTTTATGATGTGTAACATGTACTTGTGCACAGCGATCAGTGTCTCTATTTCAACTATTTGGAAAGTTTTTGTCGTCAGTTAATAAACAAAACAATGAAAATAAGTGCTCGTGAAAGTAAACATCCTATATAATTTATGAAAATCACATTTTCACACTTATATTGGTTATTTTTTATTATTGAAGCTACACGTTATCACTTAAGTGTAGATTCCATTCTACAAGTTTTACGAACGTGTAGCAATGTTGACGTCAGTAAAAGTGATGACATAATACACACAGAATTTCTTTTAATCCCCTTCTAGACGTACCCGTACACGTGCACGTTTGAAATCTCAACCTTTCTATTTATCTTTTTTTCCACTATAATTCTTCATGTTTAGCCATAATGATATTCTTCTATATTCATGAGCCCATATAGTTATCATAATATCATGTCAATTATTAAAATTTACTATACCATTCATGATTTCTCATTTTTCTTTCAGTGATGAAGGTGATCATAAACGTCACCATGATTTCATTAAAAGCCCAGAAAAAACATACACAGAAAATTACATAAAGTATTACTTTGGGGCCAAATATATAGAACCAGAGGTAAGAAGGAGTGGTTTTTGTTTTAACTAAGGATAGAATCAAAAGATAAGGTGCCACAGCATTACACAAAATTGTTTTAATGGATGTATCTCTTCATTTTTGGCCATCATTTAGGTTTTTTAGAAGCAAAACATTATTAGCATCAATTACTAAAGGAAAAGAAATTTTCAGTCATTTTTTTATTTAGCTCACCTGAACCAAAGGCGCAAGTCAGCTTTTCTGATAAAAATTTGTCTGTTGTCGTTGTCATTGTAAACTTTTCACATTTTCATCTTCTTCTCAAGAACCACTGGGCCAATTTCAACCAAACTTGCTACAAAGTGACCTTTGGTAAAGGGGATTCAAGTTTCTTCATATGAAGGGCCATGCCCTTTTCCAAGGGGAGATAATTATTATACCCCTTGCAAACGAAGTTTGGGGGGGGGGGTATATAGGAATTACCCTGTCTGTCTTTCTGTCTGTCCGTCAGTCTCTGTGCAATCGTGTCCAGTCACTATCTTTCTTACAGAGGGACATTAGAATCTAATACTATACACTAAGATTGCACATGGCCTAAGGATGTGTCATGACCTTGACCCAAGGTCATTTGGGGAAGTTCAAGGAAACTTGAAGAAAAATTTCATAATTCGTGTTTGATACATATCTTTTATGGATAAACTTGGTAGGTTCTCATTTCTTTCAAAGATTGCCCATGACCCAAGGGTGTGTCATGACCTTGACCCAAGGTCATTTGGGGAATTTCAAAGTAGAAAAATTTCATAATTTCAATTTGTGTGTGATACATATCTTTATTATGGTAAAACTTTCTTCAGAAGAACCCAGCAGGGGGTATTTTGTCCCGTTTGGACAGTTCTAGTTATGAATTAGAGAAAAATTAATGGCATTTTTAAAAAATCTTCTTCTCAAAAACCACTAGGCCAGGAAAGATGAAACCCATGTGGAATCATCACCAGGTAGTGTAGATTCAAATTTGTTCAAATTATGACCCCCGGGGGTAGGGTGGGGCCAAAATGGCCGATCAAATTTTTACATAGGAATATATAGGGAAACCTTTTAAAATAGTGATCTTTATATGGAATCATCCTCAGGTAGTGTAGATTCTAGTTTGTTCAAACCATGATCCCCTGGGAGGTTAAAATTCAAGCCCCCTAAACTCAGTAAACTTTCAGTTAGGATCTGATATATGCTTTTTTGTAGCAAATTCCTCAGGTGAGCAATGTGGCCCCTGAGCCTCTTGTTACAAATAAAGGACAAACAGTTTGCATTATATAAACATATACTATTACCAAAATTTTGATTAATTTTAAAAACTGAGCACAAACTTTCATCTTATGAATTGTGAAACCAAGATATTGGAAATAATTATTTCTCATTTTATTTCTCTGCAGGATTTTGAATACCTTCAAGAAGTACTTGGAGAAAGGATGTGCACTAACAAACTTTTACCAGGGTATGTGATTTGTAGAGTAGAGTTTATTCAGGTGACCCTTTGCCATATGTATTTGACTATCAGCCTAAATTGTTTGTTCAGCTTCTCTGAAACGCTAAACTGATTTCAGCCATTTTTGGTATAAAATGGATGAAGGGTATTAAAAATGTGAAATTCATGGCTCTTTCCCCCCCTTGGGCTTCATGGATGGGGCTAAAACCATGAAATATCAAAGTACTCAGAAGTACTGAATGATGGGCTCATTTACAGGGTAATGAACAAAGACCGCGATAACAGTTTAAAACAAGCCGGCTCAGACATTGAGAGGATACATATCTTTGTGGCATATAGTATTAAAAAGTTTTAAAAATTAGATAAAATGTAGCTAGAATTTAACAGCCAAAAATATTATCACATGTATTGTTTCGGGGTTTTATATACATGTACCAACAGAAGTAAATTAAATTAACACTGATGCAGCAGGATTATTTAAGGTCAAATGATTATGCACTGAAGTGTCCTCAGCGGGGGGTTTTGCATCAAAGCGTACATCAAGTCATTAATGATGTTCTTTGCATTTGTGTTAGCCTGATTGTACACTAGACCTTTATTTAGAATATGACACATACAGTGATACCTAATGAAAACCTTTCGCATATTTTAAACAAATATAAATTAATCGAAGAATACGACAGAAAGTGTATTATTATAATGATTTTTGACAATTTCAGATAACTTTGAAAAATTAATTCAGTGTTTGTATTGCCTCAAAGGTGAAATGTAGTATATTCTAACGCATAAATATGATTATGCCGTGATGAAGCAGCATTTCCGGTTGAACACCGTCACAAAAGCTGGGCATTGCTCTACGAGCAATGAGCCCGGCTAAAAATGTCATCTTTCTTTAAGCTTGGACATTTCCCATTAAAAATGTTGGGATTATAGTAAAAAGCATTGAGCCCTCTACTGAAAATTTGAATTTTAATGACCCCATATATGTGGTCATAGTGTTGGGGCGGGGCTCTATTGATTATATAGTGATAATGCATTCTTTTAAAAATCTCTTTTGTTCCTTAGTGTTAAACCAATGAATGGTGTACACAGTTATCTTCAAGTATTTAATTGTTCATTTTGTTCAGAGAATAAAATTTTTTTCTCTTTTACAATTTTCAAGGAAAGACAAATACTTTCTTTTTCAGATCCATCTTCTCAAGATACTCTTCATTTAAAAACTATGACAATGAAGAACTGGAGAAGATCTTCATCGAGTACCCTTTGTAAGTTTAGAAGAATATCCTATTTAGCTTACTTGAGGCTCATGTAAACTTTTCTGATCACATTTAATCTGGCATCCATCTATCTGTAAACTTTTCATATTTTTGACTTCTCCTCCAGATTCACTTGTCAAATTTCAACCAAACTTGCCTCACAGTATCCTTGGGTTAAGAGAATTCAAGTTTGTTCAAATGGAGGGCCACACATTCTTCCAAGCGGAGATAATTATGAACTAGTAAAAATCTTTATCTCAAGAACCATTGGGTTCAAGAAAGTGAAACTTCTTATATACCCAGTATTTATGCAGTAGATGTCCTGTCCTACTCTGATCTATTAAGTTGTCTGACGTAAGAAAAATTAAGATGTCAAGGAGTTTTCATTGATGTACTTATATTTTAATGATTCAAGGAGAAGAAAACGGATGTTTTTTTTAAAAAATTATATCATTTTAAAGCCTTAGCTGAATTTAAGATCTCATCGACGAAGTTGATCTTTTGCTATACCCCCTTAGTTAGGGTTGGCATCCCGGTTGAAGTTTTAGGAGCAAGTCTGTTCCCTTTAAGTCCCACCTAGATCGGGTGATGAACACTAACTGACTTGCTTCAGTTTCTGGATCTGACCTACTTTTTCCAAAGAAGAGACCAGGATGTGTATTGGATGAGCTCTAATTATATGACCGAACTAAACTTGCATATTTGATGATTATAAAAATGGAAACTTGCATGGGATGTTGGAAGTGAATGGAACATATCTTGATTTGTGACCAGCTTAAATATTTGGAGTAGTTTCATTCCAAAGAAACTATTAGTTCTACCAAAACCAAATTTCATGGATATTGATCTCAGGATGCACATGAGCTAAAAGAAATTGACATGAGATTTGCATCACTAATACTGATAACATTTGTCAAGGTGAGTTTCATGTTCTTTCATTACTCTATGATTTTGTTTTCAGAATGGGACATCAGTATTTCAAATTTGTCATACTTAAAGAAGCAGTGACATATTTGGTTTGCCTCAGCACCGGACTGCCCTATGAAGAGTCAGATAAACGATGTTCTGAAACAGAACTATCTGTTAGTAAGCATAAATGTACAACTTAAAGCTTACTCTTTCTTTCTAAAAGTGGAGAAGCGTGTTGATATGTTGATATTGTTCAGAAAGGCAAGGTGAACTATTTTAAGTTTGATTAGTTATATTTAGGTTTCAAGTTTTCAATGCTATGTTTATTGGAGTAATTCTGCTTATTAATTGATAGAGAGTACATATTGTATTATATATTTTCAGTGATATGTTAAATCAAATATATGCTGTATAAAGTTCATGAATTTATGTCTATAATGCAAATCAATGTTTACATGTAAATCTCTAGTTTGTAATGTCAATTTTATGGTGTTGTAATGCACAATAATTGTTAATATCTTGGATTGATATTTGTTATAGATCCACTTTTTGAATCATGTTGTGGAGTGAGCTACTCCTTGTATTCATAGCTGTAAAAATTGTCACTCCTTCATCAAGGTGATTAGAACTCCAAATAAGATAGTTCTAGCAAAAATGATTTTGTCTGGTGGGTGATTGCATCAATTGCAACTTTGGAGGTATAAACGTTTTTAAGATTTCATAGAGTTGTTGTTAAATTATTTTTGTCTTTATCCTTTTTATAGAAAAAGCTCAAATATTTGTTTAATGAACATATGAATATACATGTTTATATTAAAAAGTGGATCTTATCTTCCCATCTAAAGTTTGTTTATCATTGACTTAGAATACTTTGCATACTTAACTTTTAAATAGCACCAAGGTCAATAATTTGGTGACCTTGAATATAACGAATATGCTAAAATTAGTGTTTCCGAACTTGGTTGCTAACAGGTGCAAAGTGTTTTAACAAAGAAACCTGGTTCCACTATTAATTTTTTATTTTTTTAACAAAGTTGTCCCCTTCCCATATATTTCAATTTTTCCACTTTATTTTGTAGTCTTCTTTGTTTCTTAATATGAAATACTGAAACTAGTCTGATTTATGATTTTATACTTAAAGAAAAGGAAAAGTTAAGTTCCTGTAAGAATTCAGTTGATCCGGTGAACAGTAGGTAGGCTGACATTTTCCTAACTATAAAAGTAAAACAAACGAAATATTGCATATGCATATACCAGGTAATATAACATACCGTTTTTACATTTGTGTGTGTATGTATGTATAAAATCTTGATGTCCATTTCATTGTTCATTTTATTACTTGTATAGTTTTATTTATTTCATTTCATTACATCAGGCATGTTGAAAAAGGATTTAGGTGAATGCTTTGCTTTCTTGATTTAATTATATTAATGTAATTTTCAGCATAATGAAACTAAATTTTCAGGCTCTCCACTCCATTTTAATGAATGAAATGGTTGTGTACACTGAAAGCATTGGTTGCAGAGATCCTTGTACTATATATCATGTATGATATGTTCTCAGAGGAATTTCTTTGTAAAATCTGTCACATTACTATTTATATTTTGATAACTTTTCGTTGCTATATAAAAGTTATTGTGAAACATAAGTGGGGCAGCAATGATTCCTGTTCACTGACACTGTTGTGATTTATTTTTTTTCTGAGGGTAAATGCCTTGTACAAGATATTGAAAATTGAATACATACACTCCAATATTAAAATCTTCATCAAATGTTATTTCCTTGATGTCCAAATAAATTTACCACTGGTGAAGAGATCGAGTGATGTTAAATGAACATTAAGTATTTCAACCTTACGGCATATTGCATTTACTTTAGTGAAAGATTAAGTAAGGGACACAAGAAAGATGTAAATTATTTGAAAATAAAGTGCTGATGAAAACTCATTGATTTTGTTTTTTTCATTTGCAGTTCAAATAAAGGAAATATTTACGTCAGAATATATAAAAAGCATAGATATTCCTTTTATATGTATGCAGATTACTCTGAGCCAACTACTATTGTTGAAAACTTTCAATTAAAGTTTGAATTTGAATTAAATTTTAACAACCTTGAAAATTTTTATTTTTTAGAGGGATTTAAAAGGTGCTAAAAATTTAAATACCAATAAACAAGCCAATATGAGAGAAATCTATTGGTCATTGAGCTAATATCTGGTACCTGTTACAGGTCGGTATGTTATAATCAGACATTTGTAAGAGGTAGGAAAGTTAAAGTACTGGGATTTGAATGTGTAAATATCTGGTACCTGTTACAGGTCGGTGAGCTAATATCTGGTACCTTTTACAGGTCGGTATGTTATAATCAGACATATGTAGGAGGTAGGATGGTTAAAGTACTGGGATTTGAATGTGTAAATATCTGGTACCTGTTACAGGTCGGTGGGCTAATATCTGGTACCTGTTACAGGTCGGTATGTTATAATCAGACATTTGTAAGAGGTAGGAAAGTTAAAGTACTGGGATTTGAATGTGTAAATATCTGGTACC